TAAATAAAAAATATATATATATCTTTCTAATATAATATTATTTATTATCTTTGTTCGAGTTTTTAATAAAAATTTGGATATTCCATAAATGTTAGAATATCGTGAAATATACTGTTACCATTTAAATATTAATATAACCATTATAATAAGCATTAAAAATTTCCTCCCCCCCCCATATTATAAACCGTTCGATAATGTGTTAAAAGCATCCCTTTTTTTAATATGACTTTGCAAAAGTATATTCATACCATCAATTCTAACGATCGTAATTTCTGCATGATGTTCATGATCAAAGGCTCGTTAGATAGATAAAAAAGTTTTCTTTTTTTTTTTTATTTTTTTCTTTCTTTTTCTCTTCACGAAAAATACAAATTATAGTTTAGTAAAAGTTAGACTACTCGTTATAAAAGTTAAAACAAGATTTAAATATCGTTAAAAGCACAACGAAAGCTTTTATTCCGAATAGCAAAAAAGAAAAATATAAAATAGAACGAATACTATTCGGCCTCTAGCGGTCTTACAATCAATCTTTTCTCTTGTATCTTCTTCTTCTTCATCTTCTTCTTCTTCTTCTTTATCTTCTGGTTCCTCTTATAGACGAAAGCACGAAAAGCTCGGAAAGTTCGCGGGTGGACAATGAATGCTGTTCGTAGAAACGAGAGAAGAATAAATGAAAAACCAAAAAAAAAAAAAAGAAGAAGAAAAGGAAAGAACAGAAAAAGAAGGAAAAATACGGTGTACGTTGTGTGTGTATGTGTGAGAGAGAGAGAGACGAAGAAAGTAAGAAAGGGTAGAAAAATAAAAGGACAAAAAGAGACAGAGACAGACACAGTACACGAGTATGACTGTGTGTATGTGTGTGTAAGAGAGATACACTGATAAGAAAAGTAAAAAGAGGTACAAGGAATAGTTACGAAAGAAAATAAAAGAAACACGTAGAAGTCCTTCTAACCCCCCCCCTCCTATCCTTTTTCTTTCTATCTTACTCCCACTCACTATAATTCACTCACTCACTCGCTCGTTCATTCTTCTTTCTTTATTTCTTTATTGCTTATCCCATCTCTCTCTTTTTTTTTTTGTCCTTTTTCTTACAAAATGCTTTCACTCCTAAGCGACAGCTGTACTCGTCGTGGTCCAGCACACGATTCTTCTTCTCTTCGTTAGTCGGTGACCTCTTCTCAAGTGGTCAAAAGAGTCCACTGTTTACCTTTCTTCGACAAAGCTCCAGTCGTCGGAAGAAAAATTTAAGTAGTTACATATAATAGTTAAGAAGAACTAATGTTCTTCCATTTATTTTTAATAGTTTTATTTGTTTTTTGGTTTTATTTTTTTTTTGAATGGGTAGAGATAATTATTATAAGATATGTAATTAATTAAATGTCGAGAAGATAAATAAAAAAAATAATTAGATTTTGTAGGAAAAATAATAATAATAATAATAAATAAAAAATACTAAAAGTTTTTTAATTGGTACACATATGTTAATTAGATTTTATAAAATAGATATTAGAAAGAAGAGAATTTTTATAATTTTAAAAGAATTTATATTAGTTGGATATTTTTTTCCTAATTATCATAAGAATTTCTTTTTTAAATTATTAATTTGTTCAACCGTCAAATTAGAAATTAACAAAACAAATGGAAAAAAAAATATATATATATATATATAATTCGTTCAAATTTAGTCAACGTAGTAGAAAATAAAATGTGGAAGAAAGTTTTTTAGTTGAACTTTTTTAAAGCGAACGTCGTTTAACCGAAAAGCATTGGCTACGAAAAATGTATGTAAAGCAAACACTCGTACACACGCACATGCACACACCTATGCGCGTATACACAAGCATTGTAGAATCGGTTGGACGAAGTTACTTTTTAAAAAAATTTAAAAAAAAAAAAGAAAAAAAAAGTAGCACAAAAGTAGAAAGCAACAACAACAAAACGTACAAAAGAGAGAAGAACTATTCGTTAATGTTTCAACTTGTGTTATGTGGCATACGAACAATTAGTATCAAGTTTCTCTTTAAACGGATGACATACATTGTGAAGGGATTAATTACAAAAACTTTTATCACCATATAAATACGTAGAGAAAAATATTTCTTTTGTTTTTTTTTTTTTTTTTTT